AAAAAAACCAGAAAAACAGAAACCAAGTCAATTCTCACTGAAAGCATTTCTGAAGTGTTTTCACTCGTCTGTATTCAGCAGTATAAAGAAGTCCATTATTCAAGCACTTCAGTTTAATCACTGTTTAACAATTCTAACAAGCCACAGCATGATGGATGCATACCCAGGATTAAACAGGCCGTTATAATGGCTACCGCTGGTCTACATCACTTTACGATTGTCGTTTTCTGTAAATAAATTGTGTACAATTATGTGATCATGTGATGCATGATATGAAATGAACCTTATATACATTCTCGTGCTGTTTCTGGTACGAGTTTTCATAGAGGACACATTTATGGCTGTTAACAGCATTAATAGGGTTATTAATTAGGTATTTTACAAAGTATCAGTTTCTGCCACTATTTTTTTTTTAACAGACTACACCTCCAAAAAAGGGTTAGGGGAGCACATCCTGTAGATGATGGAAAGTACCGGATGCAGGAATGTAAACTTTTATTCTCTACAATCCAAGCGATATTACTCGGAAAACCCTTGGAAGAAGGTTTCGTTACGTTTCGGGGCACACAACCGAACACACGTCCCAAACGGCACGATGCTGAGACCTCACTCTGCTGGATGATGCCTTATGACACGTGGTGTGTGTGATGGGCGGATGAGCCAGAGAGAAAGAAGCTTTGTGTGTGTGCAGGCATTCACTAATCCGGCCCTTCGTCACATCCCCCGGCTGAGTCAAACGCTGCGCTCCTCTCTTCACCCGCACCGACGGGGAGGGAGATGGCCGTGCACTTATTCTGATGCTAATGGGTTTTAATGACTCATTAATATAGCAGAGGATTTGATCAATAAGTGACTGGGTGCCAGTTAGCCATTTGGAGTGGGATATTGAGTCTAATCCAGTTTAATAGTCCTTCATAATGCGTGTTTATATATCAGGTGCTGATTTGACAATGCTGAGGACAGAGCGGAATGAGTGTAAAGCAAAAACACTTCATATCACAGTGTAACTTTGTACCTGAGTAAATTCCAGTGTGTTCACTGAAATTAAAAATATCACAACTAATGCCATCCTCACTCACTGCCATAGCTGAGAATGAAATTATTAGAACAGTAGAAAAGGAAAGTTACAGTTAGAATTTGGGGCAGAATTTGTGCCACTATTTGTGGTACTGCGGTGAAAAACATACTGAAGGTTACAAAGCACTGACACTGGAGACTCCTTACGTAAATGCAAAATAAATGTTTCCTTACAGAAACCGTCACCATATCAAAGCTTTTATGTTTTCCTTTGTTAAATATTGTGGGTTTTTTTTTTTTAAGACCATTTAATATCAGTCTTACGTTATGTGGTCCCCGTGAACGAGCTGTTACTATAGAAACGATGACGCGTTAGAACGAGCGCTTTATTATAAGCCTGTGAATTAAATTACAGCCAGCATTACTATAAGTGCTGTTAGAGAAAATTACTCATCACCTTCTGACTAATCACATCTGAGATTTAAACAGCGCTGTGCTATCGGTTTTGGAGAGTTTAAGTAGGATTTTGATTAGCAGTGATGATGCCTTTAAAGCACTGTTAGTTTTATCTTATTGTTTAATTAAACGTTTTCCTGTAGCTTCATGTATAATCATATTGACTCAAATATGAATCATGCATTTGACTCACAACTCATTTGACTAACACGGAGGGAAACATGAAGCATTTGCCGTGCAATCTTAAGTGCAGAATCGAATTTAATATTATATTTCGGTTTGGATTTGATTCTTGTTCCCCGTCCACAGTCTTACTGCAACGATCCTGACCTGGTCCTAGAGCTGAAGAACCTGATCGTTATATTTGCAGACACATTGCAGGTATTTCACACCTTATGTTCTCACGCCGCGAGGTTTCCTGACAGTTTGCACTGGTCAATCCGCGATATTGAATATGTACACACGTTTCCTTATATCAACAGTTCTGACATGTGTGGTTTTGACACATTGGCTGTTTTTCTCCATCTTGTGTTTTGACCAGAGTTATGGCTTCTCAGTGAACAGACTCTTCGACCTGTTGTTTGAGATTAGAGATCAGTACAATGAAACGCTGCTGAAGAAGTGGGCGCTGGTGTTCAGGTAACACGGCATTTATACTTTAGTCCTGCGCACACAAATGCTACATCACGGAAAGAGTCGTTTCTTTATCATTTGTGGTTTTTCTTTTTTTCTCTCTGGCAGAGAAATATTTGAGCTGGACAACTACAGCCCCATCCCCGTAGAAAGCGAAGCAGAGTACAAGCTTGTGGTCAGCAGATTCCCCTTCCACGATGCCGAGATTGAAAAGGTTTGTTCAGCCTTCTCAGAAGGACATACCAAGATTTGTATTATGTCATTTATTGTGCACGTCAGATAGGATTAAGTCTTTGTGACATTTTTAATGCAATCAGTGCATGGTTTTTTTGTGCTTTATTATATAGCAACCATTTCCAAAGAAGCTGCCCATGTCCCAGTCAGTGCCTCAGATCTACATTCAGGTCAAGGAGTTCATCTATGCCAGTTTAAAGTTCTCCGAGTCACTACATCGCAGGTGAGTGCACGGCATGTTGACAGTGATCATTCCTGGAGATCCCAGTCACTCACCAGTGTCATACTGCGCACAATTCTCACACACACACTGATAAATCCTGAGTGATACGCATTCAGCGTATAAGGCTGAAGTTCCAAATATCTTTCATTATAGGTTTATACATACTCTCTGACGACGTGCTTGAAATCCCTGCTTTGGAAAATCGGTAGCACTACATAGAAGGCTGTTATTGAAATGTATGAAGAACTGAATTAGTGATTGAAGTAAACGATTTTGTACACTTCATTTCATGCAACACACACAACGTTCGCTTGTAATCCACACAGTGATTTGAACTTTGTAGCACAGTGCTGTTGAATGCTCCATTCCGATTGGTCCAAAGGCATTGTTTAACTCAATACAACAGCATGACTCGGGAGAATAGTTTCGCCTGCAAGATTTGTATCAATGCGCTCGTTCGAATACATTACCAGTTCTATAGAAACACCTTTCACAGGGCCTTGTATGTCCTGTGCAGACATTTGTCATAAACAGATTTTTAAAATGTGTATGATTATTGATATTGTGAAGTTTTCAGTGAGGAGACCTTTAGTTAGCATTTGTGGAAGGAGTCTCCAGTTTCACAGCTTTGTAAACAGTCAGAGGTAAAGCTGTAACTTTAAGTAAAGACGAGGGAACGTCTTGGCGGTTGCCCTGTAACATGACAAGCTGCGTTTTTTTGTATTATTAACTACAAGAGAGAGGAACAACTGTTTATAGCTGCCGTAATGTAAGTGATAACAGGAACTAGGTGCTGTTATTGGAAAAGTGATTCAAACCCAGCAGCACAGTGAATTATGGGTATTCCGTGGCCCCTGTGGTATATCATTTGTACACTGCCAATCAGGTGTGCTATTCTGTTTTTTTGAACACGCTTGTAAATGGACAGACTCCGAAACTAGTGCACTTTATAGTGAATAGGGCGTAGGGTTTTGGACACGTACTCTCTTAGCTAAAGAACAGTACTAGTTTAAGAACTTGTGCTGCTTTAACGTTGAGCCAAAGATATTTGTCCTAAGTAAAGTGGAAGCTTAAGCCTGAGCTAATTTAGAGCTTTAGCCTCCATCATTGCTTCCATTGCCCAAACAAATTGATCAAGAAGTGATAGATTAGCAAGCGGGTTTTGTCACTGAGCATCTGGTCGTCATCTGAGCAGCAGGTCTTAGGTCTTTCGTCAGTCGTGTCTTGTCAGCGCTGGCCTGTGGAGCTCTTATCTGAAATATGGCTGGAGAGAGTGACTTAACTGATACGGTCCAAGGGAAGCTCCATTCTGACCCATCTACAGCCAATCTGCCAGGATTTGTTCTCTTTAAACTCTGGGGCATTAAGTGAGGTGTTTCGTATGCTTGGTGCTTTGCTGGCCCAAATAGAGAGAGTAAGTAGCTCCAGCCTACAGGTGGCATTTTGATCCGCATCCATTACATAGAGCTGCAACATTTTTTTCCCCAAGAGCACCACTCTATGGGAATAATGTTTGTGTTTGAGCCCTTATTTTGTAGTCATGTCCCTATTGGTACCGTTACTGAGGCCTGTGACTGCTCTGGTTCCCTGACAGGAGAAGAAGTGGATGGTTAAAGCACAGCGTGTGTGGAGGAGTTAGGATCGATCTTTCCCTTGTGGGCAGTCAATGCAAATTACCGCACATTTCACACTCCTCTCTAATTGTTTCTTTGTCATGTTAAGGGAGTGGTAATGAGTGGCCTCTGGACCTCTCTATTGACTGTTTGCTTACCTAAACCCCTCCCTCCCAATCAACACCTCCAGACACTCTGACACACACACACACACACACACACACACACACACACACACACACACACTATCTGCAAAATCAACACTCTAGCAGCGTCCTGTTAATACTCGCACCTAGTTGCTGCTGCTGAGTTGGTTGACAGTGAGAGCTAGGTTAAGGTTAAAGGCTACTTTTTTTTCCCATGGCACATGGAACAAGAGATGGCCCAAACAGGATTCACTGGAAATTTGGAGTTCTAGTAACACTTTATTTTCCACCAGAATGAAAGATGTGTGTGACAGATATAGTGCTGACAACGGTAAAAATGACCGTGTTGTTAAGGTGCATGACGATGTCATTGTTAGTCCAAACACTTCTTCTTTGTTGACCTTAACTTATTTCTTCGATTGGCCATTTGCTTAACCAGGTCATATTGCAAACAAAATGTCCATGCCACGAAATTATTCGAACTTTTGCGAATTATTAGGATTATTGTTGAAACTAAACGCACTGAAGCACTCAGTGAATTTGCCATTCCATATCATTGGCAAACTATTAAAGCGTGTTTGTTCTTTTTGTATTTGTACAAGAAGAACAATTGCCCAGAATGAGAAATATGAACAGTGCTGGTTACCCCAGTCCTGGGTACCATTCAGCCTTGTTGATGCCAGTGGTAGCTCAGTGGTTAAGATGTTGGACTTCTGATCAGAAGGTCATGGGTTTAAATCCCTGCACTGCCATGCTGCCCCTGCTGGGCCCTTGAGCGAGGCGCTTAACCCTCAACTCAGTTGTATAAATGAGATAATTGTACGCCTCTCTGGATAAGAGCGTCTGCCAAATGCCGTAAATGCCAGTCATGAGTAGGTACCAGAAACCAAATAACTGCAATCTTTGGTACTGGACCAGTGGCAAATGGGAAGAGACTAGTTTAATCTTTTAATGGCAAAATTTCCCTTACTTTATGCAGTTAAAAGAGACACCTAGACTGTAATGATCATAGATTGGGTCATAGGATCTGGACATAGTATTCATACGAGTTCTCAGTGTGGCACCTGACAGAATCATGCACTGTGTGAAAGAGAAACCTTCTCACTAAGATGATTTGTTTTAGTCATAAACGGAAAAGAGGAAAAGATCTCCACATGTTCTCTGTTGCCCTGTAAACGCAGTTGTGTTCATGCAGCGTCTCTTAACTGGTTCACCTGTCCCTTCAGCTCTACTGAGATTGACGACATGCTTCGTAAATCCACCAACCTGCTGCTGACGAGGACGCTGAGCGGCTGCTTACAGAACCTCATCAGAAAGCCTCATATAGGACTCACTGAGGTCAGAGTCATATTTCTGCAGTCACCCTGCGCGTAAAATACCGATCCAGTTTGAGAGAATGTATGTAAACAAGTGTGGCATGATGGAGTTATGTGACTGTTTTGCAGTTGGTTCAGATCATCATAAATACCACCCACTTGGAGCAAGCGTGTAAATACCTGGAAGATTTCATCACCAACATTACCAACGTCTCTCCAGAAACCATCCACACCACAAGACTCTATGGCCTCTCCACATTTAAGGTTAGATACTTGGCAAGCCTGGTGTGTAATGTTGTAATGTTGTTTTCTTCTTCATGAGTGTAAATCAGTGAGATGACATCTGGAATAATGTAGAGGTTATTCCACGTCAGGAGCAAACAGACGCTCCTCCAGCAATGCCAGATGTCCTAATCACAAGCGAATGTTTTTTTTTTTCTCTGTAATAATAAAATAGTAACTAATCATACAGCTTTTAATTCCTTAAACTTGACAACCCTTTCACAGAAGAAGCCAGTAAGAACTTCTTCCTGTTTGTAGTGCCCTTTATATTGAGCCTACTAGCTTATACAGTGCTGTGCAAAAGTCTTAGACATCCTGTTTTTCTTCTTTCAGTACAAACTTTGTTATAGATTATTATTTTATGACTTCTACATTATTGATTCAGTACAAAAACATTGTAGATTTCCAAAATCCAAATACAAAATTAGATGCTACAGAAAAAGTCAGTAAAGAAAGCAGCATGTTACGCAAGAGGCCTCTTTTCAGACAGAAAACATAATGAAGGCTGCTGGGTTTTGCTGCAAAAATAAGAAGCGAGTCGACAGTCAGAGTCTAAAGAAGAACTGCGGCTGCTTCTGCAAGATGCTCAGTAAAATTTCCTTATAAAAACTAATTTCCTAATTTCCTTATAAATCTGCACAAATTGTACCTGAGACTATATTCGTCACACCAGATCTAGGCTTTGTTTCATTTATTACTGTTTGCTGCTCTTTACAGTATTTCTTTAATGTAGAAACATTTAATTCAATTATTGCTGAAGGCATCTTTGCTCTACAGCATTTCTTTGCATGTGCCTAAGACTTTTGCACAGCGTATGTTAAACCAAGTGCTTTATGGGATTACAGGACAACAAGCCGGCAAGTCGTTTTAGTGAAAACGGACATTCATGAAACGGTTCCTTTGTCTTTAGGACGCCAGGCACGCAGCAGAAGGCGAGATCTACACCAAGCTCAACCAGAAGATCGACGAGTTCATCCAGCTGGCCGACTACGAGTGGAGCATGGCCGAGTCGGACGGCAGGGCCAGCGGCTACCTCATGGACCTCATCAACTTTCTGCGCAGCACCTTCCAGGTCTTCACACACCTGCCGGTGAGCCTCGCTGAGCACGCACAGCCTCGTCGCGGTGTTGTTCTCATTGAAACGGTGCTGCGTGTGTTTCGGGTTGTGGATTTAAGTGTTTGTCGAGCTGACCGAACTTCTGTGTGTGTGTTGGTCCTGTAGCACGTCGTGTTGGCGTATCTGTTTCTTTTACCGTGCGTCTGTCATTTTATGGGGTACAGAAGGACCTTTTAGAAATCCCAACAAAGACACATAGAGTACAAGAGAACAGAAGAATATTCATTATTTTACTTTGTAATATGTCATGCGGTGGATTACAGTAGCAGCTCATATTGGACACTGATGCTTACTAGTGCTAAACAGAACACTTTTTTAGCATTCCTGGTTATTTAGAACCAAATCATTCACACATTTCAAGACTTTCAAATATTTTTAAATGATGTAACCATGAACCTGAACATCAGATACAGGTAAATTTCTGTTTTTAAAGACGTAGTGCTTGCCTGCTTTACTCTCCAGCTCGCCCTTGCTCTGAAAAATCTTACTTTGTCTCTTGTTTGATCTCCGCTGCTTTTTGTTTTGTTTTGTTGTTTTCCAGGAATGTCCTCTCTCTCCTCCAAGTGACTGTAGCCTTGTATTTCTTTCTACCAGGCATGCTTGGTTATCAGACTTTTCTTTATCTGTCCATTTATTGTTGCCATACTTTCTTTCCCTGTCTGTGTTTTTTTTTTATTTTGTTGGGGGTTCTGCTCAGAATAACACCAATGATCATGCTGCGATGTCGGTAAGTACACACCCTCCTTACACCCCCAGAGGGGGAAAAAAAAAAAAAAAAAGCGCATGCTCGTGTCCGCTGTGTGGACTCGCCTCCAGGCTTGCTTTGCTTCCTTCTCCACATTGTTGTACCAAAAATGAACCAGATCAAATGTCGTGCCCACCTGATCTGTTTCCCCTGACTGTCTCATGTGGATGCCGGCATCTGCTCAACATAGGACGGATTCTCACTTGAGATTCACACGCGGAGGTTTTCGTTTCCAAAGCCGTTATCCCTTGTGTTGTAACTCACAAGTCTCAAGTCAGAATGCAGCCTGATCATTGACAGCAGAATGAAATGTGTGGTCTGAAACGTCCTGTGGTTTGTGCGTTCAGGTACACCGAACGTAGCTTAAGCTTCACGTACTATCTTAGGTACAGTCTCTTTTGAAAAAAGTCGATTTGGATTTATTCAGTTGGTATACAGAACGGTCCAAAAGCCTGAGTCTGCTCCTCACTCTCTATTTCATCATTTATTCATGTGATGGACTGGCATCCCATTCCGGGGGTATTGCATGCCCGGTGTTCCCGCCACAGCCCCCGGATGCACTGCGACCCTGACCAGGATGAAGCTTTGCTAAAGATGAATCGTTAAAGAACCTTTTATTCAGTGGATCATTATTATTCAGTAATACATCATCTAAACCTGAATGGCTATGCCAGCCTTAGCCATAGATTAACAGTGAAAAAATTGTTGTGCTGCCACACATTTGCACTAATTGCATTATTGTTGTGGTGTTCCAGCATCGAACACGTGAGTATGCCTCCCTGAGTACAGCCTGTTTTAAGTTACTCTACGTTCACACTAGCAGGTGCCGCTCGTGACGCTTATAGTTTGTCTCTTAGGGTCTCTAATGAGAAATGATCGTAGCAGTAATTTATAGCCTACAGCATACTATACGATATACGCACACTACTTTTGTTTACAATGTATTCAATTTGATTTCCATGTTACATGCTAGGCTTTGTGCTAGCTTTGTTGGCAGATTCACAAAGCAAGCTAACTGTAAGCGCTACGTAGACTCACCAGAGGCAACAACGATCTCTCTTACGTCCTTCTAACATGATATCTCTACACGTATTCGATGAGAAATTGTATATGACAGGATGAAACCCGACAAGGTGAAAGATGAAACCACAGTTATATATAATTTTTTTTTTTTTTTTGCATCAAACAGTAAATGTGAACTAATTGCAGGTAGGAACTGAAGTGGCGCGTGGGGAACTGAAGAAAAGTAGGACCACGCGTGCCATGGGATTGGTCCTAGAAGTCATTGCTTTTCCTAATTTGCATAGACCTGAGAAAATCTCAATTCAGACATCGCTTGTTGCACTGCCGCTTTGTTGCTTGCTGCTGTCGCTGAAATTGTGGCTCCATGTCACACATAAAAAAAAAAAAAATTAATGATTGCCTGTCGCTTGCTTGTGTGAACGTAGCAGGACCGTAGCCAAGACCGGCACTACCCGAGTCTTAAAGGGGTCGAGACCAAATCAAGATCGAGTCCAAATGAACGTAAGGCCAGATCGAGACCAGACGAATCAAGATCAAGCCTGAAAAACCATCAAACCCTTTTCGAGGCCAAGCTTTTACTTATAGCCGACAAGCTCTCTTGAGAATTACCTGGAATCCTGAAGAATCATTCTGGACTATAGCTGTAGACATATAATTGGGTTGTCACTAAAAAACAACTCGAACATTATTGTTTCAAACTCTTGTTCGAGACCAAGGCATTATTTAGTGAGACCAATGCCCGAGACAGAGACAAGTCCAAGTACAAATTCTAATAAGTCTGCGCCAAGTCCCATTCGATACAGAAAACGTCTTGGATTTGTATTAATAAAGAATAGTCTAAGTCTTCAATTGGAGAAATATAATTGTATGATTATTATAGCTTTCCCAGAATTCATGTGTTTGGATCCCAGTGGTTCTATGGACGTCCGTAACGGTCCTTCCCCAGTCACGTTTGTTTGCAAGCTCATACGTATATAGTACAGGCAAGTTAGTGCTCTCCTCCAAGTACATTCAGTATTATTTAAGATAATAGAGCAGACTCACCTTTTTAACCCTGCTGTATATGCGAAGTTAAGGTCTGTCTTGCACACTAGCTAGGCATTTGAACTTTCTTTTAACCTTTTTTTTTTTAAACGCTGATACCCTACACACTTAGTAGTGGCATGTACGTCGACTGTGTGAGCTTTTGTCAGTATGAAGTGGTTTGTTTTTGTAACAGATTTGGTTTTTATTTCTCATTCAACTCTCTGGCTTAGCCTCATACACTGC